ACCGCCAAAAGCGCCACTAATCGACGCTAGTGTCGCCCAAAAATCGCCACCTTTTTTTCCCCCATTCAAACCTTTGCTACCATATATTATATTTTTCCAGTCCAATGTAAATAATATAGATGTATGTTCAATGTAATAAAATAATTTTATTCAGTTAGCACAATCGAGGAATATCTTTGTGATGAACGTTGTGATGAACAATTTACAATTACAAGAAAAAAAAAATTGTCATTTTTGATGAGACTCGACCCATCGTTCTTCTTAAAATCCCATACTTAGTCTTCAGCATATAATATAACAAAGTAAATCGAAAACATTTTATAAATCTTTTGAAACATATCAGTCTATAAATAACTTTGCTTAAAATATTACTAAAGTTATCGTCATATAATAGAGGGATATTTAATGATAGACCGCGCAAAAAAAAGATGACATCTTATAAACCTTANCATATTATAAAAATTATGAAAAGATCTAAATCCAAAGAATAGAATTGTGTGACTGAAAATACCAAAGAATTCCTCCGAGTTATAATCACCAATACATGCCTTCAGAATAGAAATGATGATGTCGAATCGAATGATGAATTCAATCTTTGTGTCAGAATCTTATTAGTAGGGAAATTACTAGCCAATCAACCCAAAGAGGGAAAGTGCCGTTGCTTATCCGATGCCTAAAATCAGATAGATTGTATTCCGATATGGACGCTTATTTTATAGAAAAAAATTGTTTTTCAGAATAATGAAAGAGTGCCTCAATGACATGGATTGGAATATACTAGGGATATGCTTCTAGATCAATTGAAATTTTATATTTCTTGAAGTTCATATATTCTCACCGCAGAGGTATTGGAAAGAAATAAAGCAAACTGGGTGAAATGAGATGCACATGAATGATTTCGAACTGGACGAAGCCAGGATCGGCTGCTGGGGGTCGAAAACTATGGAAGCGATTGAGAATTCCGGAATATTACGAGAGATGATCACGGAAGAAAATTAATTTTCTATCGATCGAAACAATTTTTGGAGATGTTTCACCAGACCCACCGATCTTTGAAAGTCTAACAAATTCGGCAGAAAATGATTTTTACGCTGTGCATACTGCATTGCTTGCACTGTATTATTTCACACTCGGTTTCACCGTCCTGAAAAATCTTCCTCATATATTCCTGGAACTTATGGTTTTTCATCCTGGTATTTCTGGTATTTCTTCCTGAACCCTTGCTTCCTCGAGATGAGGAAGAGATTTCTAATCACATTTTACCCTGGAACAGCCTCGAGATGGTCATTATCACTAGCATAATACAGCTGGAGCTTCCTCTTCTCCTGGTGACCGTGAATCAATGGAATGAAAAAGTGATGACTCTAAATGAATGATTCCTTTCGGGATTCACGTCATCTCGTATATGTATACTGGTCAGGTGGTTTAACTCCTTGATGAATTTATTCTGGAGCTGTCGCATGGGTTCAATCAGTCTTGAACAGTGTGATTGTACTATCGGTGTAGATGTAAAAAAGNAATCACATTTTACCCTGGAACAGCCTCGAGATGGTCATTATCACTAGCATAATACAGCTGGAGCTTCCTCTTCTCCTGGTGACCGTGAATCAATGGAATGAAAAAGTGATGACTCTAAATGAATGATTCCTTTCGGGATTCACGTCATCTCGTATATGTATACTGGTCAGGTGGTTTAACTCCTTGATGAATTTATTCTGGAGCTGTCGCATGGGTTCAATCAGTCTTGAACAGTGTGATTGTACTATCGGTGTAGATGTAAAAAAGATAGGAGCGGGAAAAATGATTTGTCATTTATCGTTGCATTTTTTTCGATCCTCATCTTCTCAGGGTCACTTCCAAACAATTGAGTACGATGATACTCGGACGAATAATGCTCCGTTTTAAGTTGAATTGTGTTTTTTAGTAGTATTCACTCCACGTTCATTAAAAAAACACAAATTGAATAACAAAAGAACTTAAGTCTGAGATTCTTATTCATTAAACCAATTTTGTAACCTCCAAACATGCTCCGAAATGATTTAAAGGGCCCGGAGTGGGAAGTGGTGGGGGGAATACCTCTCGGTAAGATAGACCCGATAAACATTATTCATTATCAGTTAAAAAAATGAACGGATGAATTTAGTGTTGGGCCACCTTTGACCACCACAGAATTTTACACATAAATTCATATGTTGAATTTTTCAAAAAGATGCATCCCTCCCGCTGGCTGCAGGTGAAATTTTTGATTATTTATAATTAATTGATTTTTACCACCAAAAAGCTAAAAGTGGACTACCTTTGACCACCTTCGAACCACCAAGCGATTGCAATAATCCAAATTTGCATTCCCCCCTACCCCCCGCCAGCTATAAGTAGCTGAGAGAGAGAGAGAGAGAGAGAGAGAGAGAGAGAGAGAGAGAGAGAGAGACTACCTTGCCGAGGATATCTCTATAATTCATCAAAGGTGATCTCCATCTAAAGTTGGGAAACCCGTTTACTGTAGGGAAGGTAGGGAAGTAGTCTAGATATTATTTGTCTATGATATAGACCATATAGATACATCCAAGTTTTCGCCGGTGCCGGCCCCGGAGGATGGAGGAACGGAGAACGTTCATTTCTGTGAGACTGTAGCACTCGATCCTCAGTGTTTAGCTACCTAATACATTCCTTAGCTTGAATAAAATAATTAATTATTTATCTCCATTGTTGCTATAATCATTGATATCGCACCGTATCAATTAGTGCATATATAGTAAATGCTCGCTAAATAAGTTGTGTTAAATTCACTCTCTCGTATCTAGATGTTTTTTTTCCTTCGAATTGTAGAGTATCAGCGTCTCTTCACATTGATATATAAATACAGTCGTTGACGCAAGTTCTGTCTTATTAGTCTTAACTGTATGTTAGCCTTAACTGTTCACGACCAATGGTAGACGTGAGATACTTTTGGCTGACCAATGACAGTTTCTATTCAGTTAAGGCTAGTAGAACAGAACTTATGTTGACGACTGTATATCAGTGCCCTTGCACCGTCAAATTTTCTCCCCATCCCTCACCGCCATTTCCAGTAGTCGAGTCTCACGGCAACGACACCTTCTGATATCGTGACCGTGACGAAAAAGCGACCCCGGTTTCTTTTTTTGTGCGATTCAACCGCGTCAGTAATTACACGTGCGTATTATTTTCTTATTTCATCATTAAACTATTATATTTATTCTATAATTTATTCCTTATTCCTTCGTTGTATTATTTTTCATAAATGGAATGGATAACTTTCTATCATGGAAATAAATACCAACTGAAATATTCAGGCTTGGTAGCCATGTTTATCATTCTCCAACTCACCGACCTTCTTAATTATGTCCAATATCTATCATTACAATACAAATATACACTTAAAGTTCACTCAATCTATGATTATTATATCAATTTCGTATCACTCGTTTAATAATCTGATGATGTCACGAGTTTAACTCATTTTCCCTCATTCCATATTTCCCTGAATTATTGTGGCTAGTTCGTCTTAAATGTATGATAGCGTTTTGTATTTTTATTAGTGATGTTTTTTTTCTCTAGAATTTGTGAAATTTATTAGAAGTGTTTATGTGCGTAGAATGTCATGGGGAAATATCGACCATTGATGAGTGTTTTATTCGTTTTCATTTTTAGAAATGTCAGAGTCAGATTTATTAGCTTCCGACCAAATCGACGGTCTTGATGGGCTTGAGAACGGCCAGGATGGTGACTCCATTATGCAGTCAGATTGTGTCAAACGTGAATTCAACGAATCTAATATAGATGATCCGGTGAGAGGGTTAACTATTTATTTTATAAATAGATAAAAATGCTTGAAGCATTCACCAATCTTTGTATTTTTTGGATATTTATTGCAGGAGCTAGAAGCCATTAAAGCACGTGTGCGGGAAATGGAAGAGGAAGCTGAAAAATTAAAACAATTACAGTCTGAAGTGGATAAGCAAATGAATATGGGGAGTCCACCAGGAATTAGTGAGTAGAATTTTGCTATTAATGAAAACATTAATAAATTTTTCTGTTTTGAACTGATTATCATAATTATTATGGATATGTTCCTTTTTTTGTTTCACTAGCTAGTCCATTGAATATGTCGATTGAGGATAAAATGGAAGTAGACAACAGATCCATTTATGTTGGTAATGTAAGTTGAAATTTATCACACAAACAAATAATTTATTAGTAGAGTGACAAAATGAGATAAATTAATACCACTTTAGTGGTAGTTTTTGATACATACCTCTCAACTTGATAAAAGTAAAAAAAATTAGTGGGAAGCTTCTTTTGAACCGTTTGAGCTACACGATCGTTATCTGTGGAGAATTATCAATGTTTTTCCAATTTTGAGATACTGTTAAATAAACTAATTTCAATATACAATTTATTCATCTCCTTTCGCCACTTGAGTGATGCGGCCCATTTCATAGCTAATTGTTTGTCATTTATTCATAAAAATGCATGTTATTCGGACAGGTCGATTATGGAGCAACAGCTGAGGAGTTGGAGCAACATTTCCACGGATGTGGTAGCGTGAATAGGGTTACAATACTTTGTAATAAATTTGATGGCCACCCGAAAGGTTTTGCTTATATCGAATTTGCTGAGCGCGACTCTGTGCAAACAGCCATGGCCATGGACGAATCAATGTTTCGTGGACGTCAAATTAAAGTTATGCCCAAGAGAACGAATCGACCAGGGATGTCAATGACGAATCGGTACAAGTTTTTTTACGTTATTCTTTTCTCGTTCTCGAGCAATTACGTTCAAATTTCGTCTGTAATTGATATGAATATTCATTTTCCAGAGGGCCCAGGGGTACACGTGGATACAGGGGGGTAGCACGTGGAATAAGCCGTGGAAGCGCTTATTTTGGTTACAGGCCAATGAGACGACCTAGGTACAGTCCTAATGCATATTTTAAAAAGAATATTTGAAGTCCAGTTATTACTATAGCGTGATAGACAAAGTAGATTTTCTTGAAAAAAAATAAAGAATAAATAAAACGAACAATTTATATATTATACATATATGTGTATATACTTACATATGCACATGGTAAGCATTGGCCTTCGAACAAACATATGTAGCTATCGTAGTCATCTCATTTGAAGGAAGTCACTACATAAAAACAGAGGCGACCAGGTTCTCCTATGTATAATTGAATTTTTCGAAAATGTGGTATCCCTTGTGATTGACCGCGCCCAAATTTTTCTCTTCTTCCTTTTTCTTAAATTCTTTTGATTCTTTGTGTCTGATGTACTTTTAACCCTTTTCTCCTCTTATTTTTTATTTGAGTGGACAAGTTAAAAAATTTTCAGAATCGGCGGGCGACTACGTTGGTTACATATGGCGGAGGTCACTTGATATTGGTTGCGCGATTGCATATATGTTTTTGTCCATGAACAATTACGTGAAAAACGCTCATTCTGGCGGTATTGGAAGTCTGTACACTCCAGTTATCTCAATCAGTTTCCACATATTTGAGTATTGAAGAGTGCTGAAAATATGCGGTGAGAATGACGTCGCTAGAGAGATTCAAAAAAAAAATTAACTTTTTGTTAAGAGAAAAATGTGAATGTCTCAAAAATTAAATGCGACAAAGTGGACCCTTTTCATATGAACACCCACATATATACATGTATGTAGTTGATAATTATATCTCTTGAACGAGCTTTTAAACAATATACGATGTCCTGGATATAATTCGGTTTTTACAAAGTGGTACTATTATGAATTTTTCAGATAAACCCAATTTTAATGATAAAACGAGAAAAAAAACAAGGGATAAAATTACTGTCCATCTTTCGACATTGCATTCATTTTCTCGCAAAATAATTGTGCTTAATCTTCTTCGATATCGATGAACATTATAGCTGATGATAGCGCTTTTACGACATTAAAGATATCAACCAAAATAATGGTCTCAATCATTTAAAATAGCATTACACATTACCTTAAACAATTTATGGCCGTCCTTTCATTCATTTTTGCTTCGACTGTGTTGGTCATTTTTTCCGTTCTCAAGACAATTTAATTTCAATTATTCCAATTAATTATCCGACAATGAGTAATAAATATGCTTGTTTACTCCTGTCATTATATCGCTTTATCTTTTGTTTCTTTCTTTCCTTCAAAGTGGAACGGTTTTGGGGAAATTGTTGGGTGCAATACTTTTCACTATATTTTTGGTTAAATTAATTTGGTGGGGCGGTTGGTTGTTGTCCATTATTACATTTGTCTCCTTTCAGGAGCTACAGACGAGGTTATTACATGCCATACTGACGATTCTAGAGCCATTGTGAACAACATCGCGAAGGCTGTGTATCCAAGGTATGTTTTATTTTGGCATATTATTGTTTTCAATTAGGAACTTATCCATCATCTGTTCTTTTCTTGAAATGTGAATGAAACAACCAGCTTCATTTCTATATTTCTCATGATTTTTGTACAATGAGTTGAAAATGTTATCCGGATATTCTTCGCTTTTTCTTTCATTTCATTTATGATTATTTCTTTACGAAATTTCTCCAACCATGACACTTTAAATTTCAAAGAGCATTCAGTTAAAATTTTTCAGGAAGTATCCAAGTCTACCGAATATCTCTGTGTTATCCCTAAACATAGGACCTTAGTGATTCACAATCAATGAAAAAAGAGAAATCATTCCATCCGCGAACATAATAATCACTTTATGATGTGTTATTCTCCCTCTGTCTAGTTTCTCCCACACTGTGAAAGAACGATGTGAAGTCAATGCATCTTGAGTCCTACATATTTATTTTCCGACGTCTTTCAATATTAATGTTGATCAAAGTCAACGAAAAGAGATGATATCATTGACTTTACATCCTACATTTTTTTGAACAAATACATCATTTAATAGTATCCTTTAAAAAAAATATTATCCACATCGTAACCAAAGGAATTTACGTCAATTCTTATGATATGTCCACAGAAAAAAAATCACATACGATGGGGATAAAAAAAGAGAAAAGAAAAGAAAAAACTGAAAAAAAAACTTCAATGTCAAAAGAAAAAAAGAAATTGGACAAAGATGGGCACAATTATTTGCATTGAATGATTTCTAATCATGACGAAAAGAAGCTCCGTTAATTGTTGTATGACGTTGATTCACCGAGAGAAGAAACAAATGAAAAAAAAAAGATTCGTTTTCTGTGGTTCAATTAATTTGATGCCTCAAGGCACCTGTAAGCAATCTGATCAAGACGAAAAGTCATTTCGTTTTGGCTTTACTACACCTTAAAAGAAAAATACACGTGCACCATTTATGTTGTTAATGAATTTGTAGTTAATAATTGATGTTATTCAAGTGCAGGGTTTTATTTTTCATAAAAAAAAGCCAGAATACCGTTAATCTGAACCAAAAACTCTGTACAATTTAATTATAAATCACAAGAACGAGAGACGTTCGTAACAACCTAGAAATTAATTGAACTACACGATAAATGTTTAAGCTTATGTCATGTATTTATATGTTTAGCCTGTTTTATTATACATTCGAAAAAAAAGAAAAGAGAAAAGAAAACGAAAACAAAAGTAAATAACATAATTCCAGCAACATATTTCCACTAACATGTGTGTCAATACTTACAACAGAAAAAATCGGTCGAACAAAAAAAAGGTAAAGAAGCAGTTGAATTTTTTCGTTCCGTTGTAGTCATTGTTTTTACGTCTCACAAACATGTCCAGATATCTTCTCGCCACTTGAGCATGTTTTTTTTTTTACCTATGTTATGCCCATGTTGCTCAGTATTTTCCAGGTGCGGCGCAACATCAACATCCATTTCAAGAAATATAGAAATAAAAAAAAATAAAAAAAATAGTGCAGACATTTTCTACCCACTTGATACAAAAAAATTTCCAGAAAAAATATATGAAAAAAAAAGACAAGAAAAGCTTTGGAATGATAGGGAACGAAAAAAACATCAGAAATGAGTAAACGACTGTTAATTTCACAATGTAAAATGAATTCTATAAATAAAAATTTCTTTTGACATAATCAGTTGATTTAAAAAAAATTAAAATACACCATCCTGTCTTTCTACTGAGTATATCGATTTGTTTCATCGTCACAATCAACTTCATTCATTAAATTTTTAAGGATTTGTAAATAATTATAGAATGGTAATAACAAATTTGAAGTCTCTTTATTACCCATACTTCATATTTTGAGGCTCATAACTTTATTACAATTTTATTCCTGCTACCAAGAGGATTATTGAATAGATATAATAGCAGTTTGGCGAGGGAGAGAGAGAGCAGCAACAAACATAATTCAGAAAAAACAAACAATTATTTACTATCAATAGTTAGATCGGAGCACAATAATTTCATTGATTGAACGTATCAAGTCGTTTCAATACAGATTTTTTTTCATTTTTCCTTGTTAAAAAAATTACAGTTGCAATCAAGAAAGATATTAATCCAAAATTAAATGATAAAGTAATCAAATCCGAGATTTTTTCGTCGAAAATAATTGTACTTTAAATTCTTCGCTTTGTTTTTTAATTAGAAGAGATCGATATAATTATATGAAAAAAAGTGTCCATTGTTAGGAGATTTTTTCAATTGACTAGGGTACCATCACAACGATGTGGTACTTCAACATTTCATGAAATGACAAGCGTCAGCATGTCACACTGTTAGCATAGATGGAATGCAAGTGTATCTAAAATTAAACGACATAGGGTCCTCACGTTCGGCTGTATTCCACCCTTGTCGTTGTTTTGCTCCAGTCCACGTAAAATTTCGGCGCCACCCTCTCGAGCCAACATACCACAATAGCGTTTAGCTGAAGTTAAAATGGTAAAAACAAACATTAGATTGAAATTTTTTGTGGTAAATTAATTCCGTCTTTTATGAGAATTATCGTTGACATTCTTTAATTCTAGGATTGTCGAAATATCGGAAAGTAAGGGAGGAACAACTACAGTGATCATGATCACCATAAATAATTACCTTTTTCGTCACAATTTGTGACATAATATATGAGCTAAATGATTTCAAATGGGAATATGAGCAATCCAACGCCAAATACTATTATGTGTCGTACCACTAACTTTCCGACCGATTTCCTCATTTCTGTTTATTGACAAAACAAAAACGTAAATTTCGAATGTTTCATTCGCCTAATTAAACAAATGAATCGAATTACGGTAAATGTACCTATGCTCGTCCATGTCTCTATGCTTGTTCAAATGTCGTGAGCTATCATATTTTAATCATTTTGACAGTCCCAAGAGTCTATCAAGAGTGAAATACGATTGGAGCTATTATTTTGGTTAATAAGAAAAGTTATAGACACCAATGAACAGTGTCTGATGTGTCAGTGACATCAATGAATCTGTTTCAGTGAACAGATTTATTGAAAAATAAGAGAAAAATCTCATTCACATCAAGGGGTGCTACGACAGAGTGAATTCTTAAGCCGCAATTTAAAAGAAAATCACAGTTTTTAAAAATGTTGATATCTCCGTTAGAATAGTGAAATGGGATTAAAAATTCCTTGACTGAGGGTTCTGATGGTTAAAAAAACACTAAAAATGCATAAATTATACTTAATTATACTTAATCTTAATATTTTACAGCAATGTCGGCAATTAAAAAAATCGGTACAATGGAAATGGTATTGATCCTAGACTCGTTTTGCAACCAAATGTCAACTGATAAGGGCCTAAACGGCTGAAAAAATCATTTAAAAGGTTGGACTGTCCATTAAAATATAACTTTGGGCCGCGAGATATTTTTTGTTTTATCCCAAATAGGATACTCACGATGTAGTTAGTTAGGATATAGCCTTTCCACATCATTCAAATCACGAGACGAGAATTGGGATCTCTTGCAAATGCACACGCGCTCTAGCGGTTGAATCGACTACTAGTTCGGGCAGGTCCCAGAGCTGTCAGCTAGCCGGTTGAACTCGGAGCCAGAACTCTTCTCGCAAGAATATACATCATTTCGCTCAATGTTTTTATCATTACGATATTTTGCAACAATCGAAGCTAATTGATTCAGTCGAATATTGAGAATAATTACATTTTATTGATCATGGAGTATGCGGAGAGGAAAAACAAGAATGAAGCGTTTTGCAGTGTGTATGGATGTAACAGCAAAGTTTGTCGTAATTAAAAAGTTAGATTTTAACGTTTTCCTCGCCAAAACGTGGATTTATAGTTACAATAATTAATAAGTTCGGTGAAGAAGAAATTATTGAGTATCCGTATGGTGGTGTCCTCAGTTCTTCTTTCTCGGAGTCATTTCAGCTCTGGCGGATGACGTATTTCCGGAGTCAGTCCCCTTCCACCACTGATTTCTATATAGGGTGCGTTTCGGAATCAACCACCGTAGCTGCAGTAAAGCAAAATTAGGGTTGCAGTACTGCTACTGCTACTACGTCGATTGCGAAACGCGCCCCCCACTGGATGGCTTGTTCCCTAAAGTGCTTCTGAAGCAAATTAAAGGCTCACCCAGCGCCCCTATCACCGGCGGTGGTACTAAAATATACAACAATGCGCATGCGTGGGCATGATATACGAAGTGGGGGGTGGTAATATGACAAGATCCAGAAATGCCCTTGACATGTTACCACGTTTATGCTCATGAAAAATGATGAATGGATGGAAAACAAAACTCGTCCAAATGGTATCCATCAGGGGGTTTTATTTCTATTCTATTTATGTTTCTATTTTTTAATTTGTTATTTGATTGAATCCTTCAATCGCCAAGGGTGAATATCGACTATACGATATTACATACTCATGAAACGATAGATTTTTCCATTGTGTTTTCTTTCTTACAATAAACACAACAAACCATTGTAACTCATATAAGATACAATGTTTCAACAACTTAATTTTAAATTATTTTCCTTGGTAAATTAATAAACAATATCACAACACAAATAAAAGCACGTCACTCAGCTCCACAATGAATTTTTGGTTATGAACGCACGGTAAAATTACCATTCCCACTAGCAACAATTTGGATGACGCCTGCGCACTGGTATCGGATTTAGTACCACCGCCGGTAATGGACGGCGCTGGGTGAGCCTTCAAATCGCCTCACTTTTGGCGTACTGGGCCCATAAGGACAAGCTATCCAGTTATATAGAGATCAGTGCCTTCCACTGGGTATCCCAAGTTCAAGTTCGAGGCTATCCGTAAGGTGCTGCCCCCTAGGTAAGGATGGGGTTTTCTATTTCACGTGGTTATGGCGGTTTGTTTTGGTGGTGTTGGAGGATGAGGTATCTCTAAAATCTCTCCGGAGGCTGGGAGGTTCTCCAGGTGTGAAGTTCTTCTCCAGCCGTAGAATTCAGTCCCTCGGCGGTCGAGATCCTTGGGCCAGGTTCTCCAGGTGCTCTGCGGCCTAATAATCAAACCTAACCTCTACCTGTCACTGGTGTATCCCGAATCAAACCCAGAAAGACGATGATGTCCGTTATTCAGGTATTTATTATGGCTAAACCGATACAAATTGATACAATCGATACAAAAAAACTACACTCTTCGTCGCATTATTATAGATGATTATTTATTAAAAAAGGTAATTATCATCATTAATATAAGTGGAGTATTTTTCAGATGGCATATAAGCTAGTCAATGAACAAATTGAAATTTCAATAATTCGATGGTCGATGTAAACTAGATAAACCGACATGGAATGACCCCAAGCTGAAATAGTGAGTGCCCCATGGGAGGGAAGGCGCCACAGTCAATTTAGGCCTCTGGGCGAGCTGGCTGTGCCGGTAACTCGTCAGAATAGTTCTCGCCAAGAAAGAATGATGATGGTCTTGAGTGGTGGGGGAAATTGAGTCGAAGCTAAATTTGAAAAAGTGGGGGTAGCCAGCCAGCATCATTCTTTGGTGGCGAGGATTATAGCAGTCCCGCTGTCACGGACAAGTTCAAGGAGGGATTTTTGTTCTCCTTGTGCTTAATGTTTTTTTTGTCATTCCGGCCGTGAGGCAGCGCTTCACGGACGCTCCGCTCCGTGTCCGTGAATCTCTGCCTATGGCCGTCATAACAAAAAATACTGTTCGTCATATGGCCAAAAAAAACTTTTCTAGCTCATATGATTGCAGTTCTCGCCTTCGGCTCGGGCTGCAAACTCATATTCGCCAGAAAAGTTTCTTTCGGCCTAGTGACGAAATATACTATTTTTCATGTTTTTCAGCGATTATAAATAGCGGCGAAATATATAATTTGAAATGGAATAATCATAAAAAACGTTTATTAAGAACTCCGCGCTTACCCCGCACTTTGAAAATTCATTTCTCCGCTCCTAATTGAGATTAAGGAATGAAACCGGTGTCATTTATTGAAAATGTAATTCTCGATCGATAGGCGTTGGTTTCATGCCTTCATCTCAATTAGGGGGGGGGGGGAGAAATGAATTTTCCAATGGGGGGAGTCCTTTCGGGCTCACTCGACGCCGGAGAACCGTTCGGGGTTACTCTGCGATTTGAAAATTCATTCCTCCGCTCCTAATAGAGATTGAGGAATGAAACTGCTGTAATTTATTGAAAATATAATTCTCGATTGATAGGCGTTGGTTTCATGTCTTCATCTTAATTAGGGGGGGGGGGAGAAATTAATTTTCCAATCGGGGAGCCCCTCCGGACTCACTGGACGCCGGAGAACCGTTCGGGGTTACTCCGCGCTTTAAAAATTCATTCCTCCGCTCCTTATTGAGATTTAAGGAATGAAACCGCTGTCATTTATTGAAAATATAATTCTCGATCGATAGGCATCGGTTTCATTCCTTCATCTTAATTAGGGTGGGAGAAATTAATTTTTTAATGGAGAGAACTTGTCCGCAGTCACACCGTGCTTTGAAAATGTATTTCTCCTCTTCTAATTGAGATTTGGAAATGGAACCAGTGGCAATTTATTGAGAATTCAATTCTCAATCGATTGGCGTTCGTTTCTTCTCTCCATCTCAATTAGGGGAAGAAAAATTGATTTTCATATTAAGGGCATAATTCTCGGGGCATGCATTTTCCCCGTGCATAATTCCGGGGCATGCATTTTCCCCGTGCATAATTCCGGGGTCAGTCGGCCTTTAAAACCGGAAGGTTCCCCTCAACGTCGTTGGGATCAAAGAGGATTGACTAAATTTCTCATAAAGAGAAACGGGGAGTGATCGATTGAAGAGAAGCGAATAGAGTGATCATTGCGCCTGCTTCGCTCGTTTGACCCTCAAGGACGTGCAATTCTGTCTAATCACTTTCCTGTTTGACGGTTCAGACTGCTTCATCCTTAAAGCGATAAGTCGGTTAAATTTAAAAGTCTTCATTAGGCGATTGAAAGGGCAGGTTGAAGCAAAAAACGGATTGTAACGAAAATCGATTACTAAAAACAATGAATCTTCAGTTCTACTTTAGAGACACGAAAAATTTATGAAATTCAAAATTCATTTATTCATGATCTATTGCATCGTATGAATCGTATGAAAATTACGGCGCAGGGAACATTTTGAAGGTAAAAACCGGAAAAAATAGGAGTTTTTCGTGGTTATGCGGAGCAAGATCGAACGAGTCCGCGATTTTCCCTAGATATTTCCATATTCCGTCATATAACACAAACTTTTCAATGGGTCCTAAGGCCCAGTGCAGACTTAAATTTCACTGACATATCCCCTTAAGAACGAAATCAGCTACCGTTCCCTACCCCTGAAATTTCCAGAAAATTCGGAAAAGATGAATAGACATTTAAGCCCCAGATGAAAATCATCGTCGGTGTCATAGTTGTAGAATAAATAATTTATATTTCTGCATGCCCAAAATAGCGTGTTAT